TAATTGACTCCCTTCTTTATGGCTGCCCCTCAAATATGGGAACACTGCTATCATGTCACCTCTAATCCTTCTTTTCCCTAAACTAGACATGATGAATTCTTGCAACTGTTCTTCATGTGCTTTAGCCTCCAGTTCCCTAATCATTTGTGTTGCTCTTCTCTGACCTCTTTCTAGATTTTCAATATCGTTTTTATATTGTAGCGACCAAAACTGGATTTCAAGTGTGGCCTTACCAAGACATTATAAAGTGATACTAACACTTCATGTGATCTTCATTCTACCCCTCTGTTAAGCAGCCTAGGACTGGATTGGCTTTTGGGGCAGCTGCAGCAAACTGCTGGCTCATAATTAAGAGGTTGTCCACTAGACTCCTAGATCCCTCTCGCGGTTACTGCTATCGAGTTGTTTTTTAGTTGTTGTTTCAGTAGTTTTATCTTTAGACCAATAGCTTATTTACTGGCTCCATGTTTAGTGAACTGAAACTCATTTTAAAACTGAGCAATTATTCCCTGCAGATTTCATGCTTTTAAGTTAGATGGCTGATTTAGTTTAGTTTAGTTTGTTAATTTTCTGATTTCCTCAGCTAGATTTTATTTTTAAAAATTGTCTCTAATAATCCAGAAAGATACAGAATAAAGGCCCTGAAAAGACAGGTGTTAGAGAGAGTTACTGGTTCAGGAAGACTAACATATACATTTTAAAGGACAGCTAAAGATGGGATTACCTATGTAGAAGACATATTATTCTACAAAAGAGAAAGTCCACTGCAAGAAGGCTACCTTTTTGTCACTGCCAAATGATAATCTATAGGTTATGACACAGATAGAAGTACTTTCCTGAAGAACATAGGTGCGCAGCACAGTGAGTTGCTCCCGGTTTGACCCAGATCAACTGAACTGGTAGTGGCAGTGGCAGGAGGCTCCACCCACCCACCTGGACACTTCTGCACATGTGCAGAAACTTCTTTGCATGTGCAGAAGCGTTGTGCATAAACATGAGCACGACTAAACCAGTAGCGTCGGGATTTGAAACCGACCTCTGGTACTCAGGAGGCTAACGTAGCTGAAGGCATTCTTCAGGAAATGGTTCTGAATTATTAATATCACACTTGGATGAGTAGTTCCCAGCTTTAAAGATTAAATAATTACATACACCGGAATATCTTGCATTGCCTGTGAAACAACAGGAAACTTGGAAATATATAACTTAATCTTTCATTATTATTAGAAGTCAATGATGGCCCTAGTAGTAAAAAACCTAAAATGTTGAAGAATACTTTTGAAAATAAGACAAAACAAATCAGTTTTACATCCTGAAATCAACAGTTGCCAAATACAACAGAGCTCAGTATGATTCATCATCATAATCTTTTTACAATCCTTCACATCTTGCTTCAAATGCAGCCTGGAGATGCTGCAATAGTCATAGGTGTTAAAAACTATCACAAGTCACTTTTTCAGGCTGTTGTAACTTTGAACAGTCACTAAACAAACTTTTGTAACTTGAGGACTACCTTTACTGTATCCCTTTTCCTTCAACGTGATTGATTTGATATTTTATTTCTAGCACCAAAATGCAAGTTACCTTTTAAGAATTCTCAGAATTTTAATAACGAAACCAAACATTTTATTAAACATTGTTTAGGTTACTATCATATGCCTAGATTTGGAGAAAACTATAAATAAAATTCTGCCTCTCTCTCAAACAAAAATTAAAGAAACATTCATTGTATTGTTAATAATTTTATCTATTTTTAATACATACTATTCACATGAAATGAAATTACATCCATTGTATAGGCTTCTTTTGGAATTATCTCTTTTAGATAGATAATTCATCTTCATCTTAAGGGCAGGAGCGAAAAAGTCATATCTCAAAAAATAATGTAGAATAAATTCATATAACTATATCACTGGCAGATTCAGCTTGCTATACATCCTAATACCTGGAATGGTTGAGTTCAACTTCCAACATTAGTGATAATCATCTGAAAGTATAAAAGTCAAAACTGGAGCAACCATAAAGGAAAAAAAAGTATTTCTTATGCCAAATTCTGCTCTTATTTTTGCAAAGAGAAAAGAGATGATTAGATAGATAGATAGATAGATAGATAGATAGATAGATAGATAGATAGATAGATAGATAGATAGATAGATAGATAGATAGATAGATAGATAGATAGATAGATAGATAGATAGATACCATATTTTTCAGACTATAATGCGCACTGAAGTATAAGACACACCTTAGTTTTTGGGGAGAAAAATTAAAAAAAATATTCTGCCTCTGTCTACCAGCATCCATAGTATTCATCTGGCTAGCATCCTGTCAGTGTTTCAGAGAGTTGAGGACTGTTTGGAAACAAGCAGTATTTGCTGTGTGAGCAACAAGGAAGAAGACAGCAAGGAGCCAGGGTGTGGCTTGTTCTGTACTAAAGCTTCTTGCTGCTCTGATATCTGAAACTGAAAGTGAAACTTCTCTGCTGAACTACCATGTTGGAAAATCTGCTTTTGGTATTGTACATTTACTTAATGTGTTATGTTATATATAAACAGAAGTTTTTGAATCCTGCTAAATCAGTTATTTGTTTATGCTTTCTGAATGTGATTGCTATTGCAAACTCTGACATGTCTTTGCAGCAAATAGCTCACAGCTAGGCTAGCTTCAGCACATTATTGCAGCCTGATTCAGTATGAGCAGCTGATTGGTGGATGGACCAGTCTCCTGGAATACCCCCAATCAGCTGTTCCAGGCTGTGGGGATTGCCACAGACTATCGCCTCTTCCATGCCTCACATTTTTGGCTACATTCGGTGCATAAGTCATGCCCAAATTTCCCCCCTCTTTTAGGGGGAGAAATGTGTCTTATATTCCGGAAAATATGGTAGATAGACAGACAGATGATAGACAGACAGACAGGCAAATTATGATTAACCTGGCGAGTTGCCAAGAGAACTTAAAATATTTGTATTTTTATTATCTCTCTTACAATTAAACCATATTGCCTGCATTGTACATAGCACAGAGTTCCTGCTTCTTTGCATTATGACCAGATAGTGCAGTAAGGTGATGGCATTATTCCTAGAAAGATTGCAAGAAAAGAAACTTTGAGATAAATCCCATGATCATTATGAGAAACCTATTCAGTTCGCTGTCTTCAACAAAACTCTTCAGAATGATATATTTAAAGGGTGAAACAACTGCTTCTCAAAAAGTAGATGTCAGAGTTTCTTTAAGGTCACATTGTGTCAAAATGTGTATTATCTGGATTTTGTACTGCAATTGATTCCTATAAAATTTTCAAAAATCTCATTACCAAACTACATTTGGGAATGGAAAGTAATATGGATAGAGCTTAGTAATTTTTACAGTCAGACATCAAATTGAAGAAGTTTCTTTTCTGTAATATGGTGGCTGGTTACTTTTGTTTGTTTGAACTTTTGGTGAAATTTCAAACAAGATAAAGAAATTTGAGCAATTGATAACATTACAAAAGTCTGCATTACATACTTTTCCTAGTCACCATAATGGAAATTACATTCTACAATAGATTTTAAAATATAAATTGGTATTTCTTTTGCTAAAATTAAATTGTTACATCTTATGAGCCTTTAGAGATATATATATAGTTTATGTTTTCACATACATTTTTCTCCAGCAGTAGTATTTGTGTTGAACCATAAAAATATTTGGTTTTAAACAGAAAAAGAGATATTTTTTTTATAATTTATTACTAGAAATTAAAATTTGATATGCTTAGGATTTAACAGCCATTTCTTGGCTCAGATAAAATTACAGGTAATCTGTGGGTTACTCCCATTCATTTGGTGAACTGAACAACTGGTATTTACAGTTGGTCCTCAAGAGTTCCAATGATCACAGTGGCGAGATTTCCAACATTCTGTACCAAAAGTCAGTGGGGAAACTGGCAGGAAGTCAGAAGTCATAGTCACGTGAGGTCCTCAGCATTAAGCATGGCCCTTGCTTAACAGTAACTGCTAGGACTTCTGGAACTGCTATTGGCTAAGCAACACAATCAGTCTATAATTGTATCATTTAGGGACAGCAATTCCAGTCCCAGTTGCTGTAGTAAACTGAGAACTACCTGTAAAAACTATGATTTCCTGAAGATTTATTTTGATTCTTTAAAAAAGAATCAATGTGTGTGCGAATGTGTGTGTATTCAAATACACACACATATGCATAAACTTTTTAACTTGACATATGAATGTCCAAATATGTGCCCAAATATGCGTGAGACACATACTATTTGGTTGTAATTCTTAAAATACTGTAAAATAATGATCTTGTCCATGAAAATTACTTTGGAATTATCCCTAATTTATTTGGGAATATTAATTACATTAAACAAGTAAAATGTCAGAAGGGGGAAATTGCAATATCTCTAAAGCTGGGCCAGCTGGAATGATCAAATCCCCATGGCTTTTCTAGAAACCATTAAGTAGCAATCATTTAAATTGCTGAGGGAATGCAGGGAGAATTGAGAAGAGTCACCAACAAGTCCATGGTCTTTTGGGGTGACATTCTCCCTGAGAGCAATAGAGATTCTGGTTTCCCAAGTATTATTGGACAGGCAGATAAAACTGGGAATGGCAATCCCACTTTGCTACAAATATTTGAACAATAACAAGAAATGGCCCAACATGTTTGCAATGCACAGTCTAAATATTATTTAAAACACAGCATTTATGAAAGGTAAATTGTCTACATTAAAACAGATTTCGGTTAAGATTTACCAATTACTGTATTTTTTAATCCAAAACCACATTTTTCTGTATAAGTAGTTGCAGTTTAGTTCAAACTTTTAAAGTATAAAAACTACATTTATAAAATCACAAGTAGGGTATTTGTTATTCTTTTCTAGCATTTGATTCTCTGCTTGTCTATGTCATGAAAAAAATAACAGCTTTGTATCTGTTTCTAAATATTTCAAAAAAACCTCAAAAATAAGATCAATATGTTTGCCTTTTTCTCTCCCAGGAAGACATGGATCACAATTATTACATTTCAAGGATATATGGGCCATTTGATTCTTCCAGCCGAGATTTGTGGGTAAACATTGATAAAATGGAAAAAGATAAGGTGAAGATTCATGGAATACTCTCCAATACCCACCGACAAGCTGCAGTAAGACATTTGATATATGTTCCAATTTAATTCTTTTCTCTAATACTTGAATTACCTTTAAGTTACATGTCATTCATGTCATGTCATAGCATAGCATGTAATCAGAAATATTAATCTAGAAATCAAATCTGAAAATCTTTATCTGATTTTTGTCTTTTTTTTGTAAAGAAGAAATGGTCTCATTTTATATACCTGTAGGAAAACATTTCATGAAGTTTTTTTTAATAGATGAGCCTTTGAATTTCTTTTTAAAAAACTGCAGAAAGATTACAAAATGTTTTAAAAGCAAGAAATAGTTTCAGTGACATTCAAGTCAGCGGTTGCTGTGCCCTTGCATTTGTTTGACAGATGAATTATAGTCTAAATTGACTAGCTTAACTGCCATATTTAGAACTAGAAAGAAACAGCCCTATGTTTATCCTTTACATTTGTATGAGCTGAATTTCTGAGCGCTATTAAATCCTTGTCAAAATATTATTGTTTTGAGTTGTTGATACTTGTCAAATGAGAAAGAGGTGACAGATGTAATTTTATTTCCGTATCAAAAATATGTCTTAGCTAATTCTGATCCCACACAAAATTCTTGTGTGAGGATATTAACTAAGCTTCTGATTTATATATATAATTCAGTGCCCCATTACTGCCAACTAGAATTCCTATCATTTTTCCATGTACTGAAAGCCACCAGAAAAACCAAGATTAGTCCTAAAGGAATCTAAATTCACTAGTAGAAATGGCAATTCAGTTGATCTGACTGAATTGATTCAAGCTCTCTCACTAGAGAAGCACTTGAATGTTTTTGAGAAGTCAGATCATTTTTGAAGGGTTTCAATAATAGTAAATATTCAGAAAATATAAGAAGTTGAAAGAAAGGAAGATGACTAAAGAGAAATAAATAATCCACTTAGATTTCTGCCCTTTGTTAGGTTAAAACAGTTTCCATGATTGGTAAACTCAACAACCACATGCCATGCTGACAGAAGCAATAGAAAAGATTCTAGAATCTGGAAAGAGAGATAATTAATGCATTCTCCAGAGTTAGAAAATATAATTTATAAAAATTACTTTTCTAAGACAATAAAAAAGAGTTATAAATTGATTGGGAATGTGGAATCAGAGATCCCAGTTAAAAGAATAAATCTGACATAGCACAAAGTTTCTGTAAGCTGTCTGGATATGATGGATTATATGGTAAGAGAAAGTCAACGGTTGCATCGAAAGAATCTTACTGGCATGACTTTTTGGCTAAAATAGGCTTACTTTGGAATATCAATTGGAAAAGACAAAGAAATTGTATGTTTCTTTAGTTGCTATTTTCTTTGTTTATATAATATATATATAAACATATACACACACACAAACATACACACACACACACAAACACACACACACACACACACATTGAAATTGCATGGTGAAAGTGATTATACAGCATTCAAAAACCAGGCAATTTTGTCTACTGTAGTAATAAAGGCAGCAGGCTAGAAATTGGGATACTATGAATTCAGTCCTGGGTTGCACAAAAAGCCAGCTGGGTATCTTTTGGCCACTCTCTTTTAACCCAACTTACCTAACTAGTTATGGTGAGGGGGAAGGGAACATGAGTGTTAGACATGTTCATTGTCCTGAGTTATTTATAAAAATAAGTAAAATGATTATAAAAATAATGGCAGGATATAAATAAATGATCTGTTCCAACATCCAACTTTTCATGCAGTTAAGCACACCAAACTCATTTAAGTGAAGTCTGTGGTTGCATAATTGTAATGCATATTCTGGTTTGATGATGAGATCAGAATCTTGATAAAGAAGGACGAGATTCCATTATCATGTAATGTAAAGTAATTTAAAGATGACCTTTAAAATGTGAATCATTAAGGAGAAACTTTCAGAAAATAGTACAGGTAATCTTCCACTTACAGTCACAACCGAGCCCAGAATTTTGGTCATAAGTTATTAAGCAAAGCATCATGTGATCTGAATCAATGTTACTATTTTTATTACTTTTGTGATGCTTATAAAGCAAGTGAACCACATGGTTTTTAGTGAATCCAACATATCTCATAGGTGGGGAGGGTTGCGCTTTACTATTGTAAAAAACAACAACAAATGTTACAAAATGTAGATATTGAGCACCCAATATGCAATCACTTAACCATATGGGAGGGGGAAGTGGCAGTCATAACTTTGAAGACAGGTAGCTTTTTTGTTGTTGTCTGTCATAACTTTGAATGATTGTTAAACAAAGCTATAATATACAGCACAGAGATGGAAACAAATCACAATCGCATTTAGATTTGTATACCGCTTCACAATACTTTACAGTCCTCTGCGGTTTATAGCATCAGCATATTGCCCCCAACAATCTGGGTCCTCATTTTACCATCCATGGAAGGTTGAGTCAATCTTGAGTCAGTGAAACTCAAACTGCCGAACAGTTGGCAGACAACAGTCAGCATAAGTAGCCTTCTGTATTACATTTTAACCACTGTCCTGATTTTGTTTACCATAATAGGGGTCAGACAAATTTGGACAAACTTTCAACATTCTGTTATTATCTGTTAATCTAAAACAATAAAGAAATATTACAGGATTCTTTGTGGTATCCGTTTCTTGACTTGGTTTAACTTGAAGGGCTGGCACATAGCAAGTTACATAAACTTCATGGTACTTTTCACTTGACTTAATTTTGCGATCTACAGTTTTATATGAAAAATTGTTACTCTGAGATCTATGCTATACAGAAGAATGCTTTGATGAAAATAATATTAAGCATTAGCAATTAATATCAGTTTTTGTTGTGGTAATTAACGGTTGTACTTCAATTAACAATTTTGGGATGACAACTAAAGATTATTTTTGTTTATATGAAAGCAAGTTTCATCCAGACAAATTAAAAAAAAAACATTAATGCCCTAATGGCATAGTTATGCTCAAGTGGTGGGTACTTTAATTTCTTTGCATATGAACCATATTTGAAAGTAGCTGCAGAAACTTCAAGATCAAAATGAGAATTGGTTACAGAGAAAGCCATTAGATATGACGATGGTAACTTGCTTCTTATTGAGCTAATTCAATCAAAATTTTCATAAGGATGATCATGTACAAAAAAAAATTTTTTTAAGTGGAATTCTGAAATGACTACTTAGTCTCAAATTATTAACCATAAATATAAATACTTGGGTGCAAATCATAATTTTTAGAAATAATCTTGTTTTGGGCAAAATATTTCAATACAGGAGAACATCCAATATCACTTTACCATTTTAAAAGTTAGAAAGCAGAAACATGATTTTTTCTGCTTTTTCTTGATATTTTTAGTCTAAAAGCTACCAAAAGGCAGAATAGTAATCTGCTGTAATAAATGGTTGCCTTTTTTGACCAAAACGATTAGTTCTACTTATCTTAGTTTAAACGATCTTTTAGCAAACCATTATAGAATAATAGTTTTATAATAACTTTACCCTTTACCAGACCAAATTAATGTATGTTTCTCAGAAGTGGCTCTGCAATCAAGTAGATATTTAATATGTTTAACCTTGGCAATTCATTTCATATGCAAGAATCTCATATATCAAATTCATTCAAACTTTTTTTTTAAAAAAAAAAATCCAGAATACCAATTACAATTAAATCTAGATTATAACCCTTTTCTCTCAAAGAACAAGGAAAAAATGTGGCTTTTTCTTAGACTTGACATCGTTTCACGGTTTTATGCTTTATTCCAGTTTCTCAAACATAATAAATTTGAAAAAAAGTAGGAAGGAGGCAAATAAAAGAACTGTCAAAGTGTTGAAATTTCTAATAGTTTCCTTGTCAGAACTTGCCTGTTTTCTTTATCCTTGTTAAAGAGATACATCTTGTCATTATGAAGTACATAATGTTATATCATGCGGAAATTCATGGAGAAAATGCAGATAGCTCCCTAAGAAAAAGAACAAACACACACATGAACACATAGGGAAAAAAAGATTTCAATTATTAAATGGTTACTTACAGAACTGTTTGTTTCTATTTATTTATTTATTTATTTAGCAAGTGGCATAGAGCAGTGTTTTTCAACCTTTTTTGTGCAAAGGCACACTTTTTTCATGAAAAAAATCACGAGGCACACCACCATTAGAAAATGTTAAAGAAATTTAACTCTGTG